TTCACGAGTGGAATTTAAATTTCGAGAAGTTGAGTTTCTGTGGGTTATATTCCAAAAGGGTTGTACTTGTGAAACAAGCTATGCCAGAATAGAATCCTGTATCTGAATTTTGAACTAATCCATGTATTCCTATCTTAGTTCTTGTTAGTATAACATATATGTAAAGAAGTTAATAAGATATGTCTGCCTTGTGATGCAGTTTCTCTGATACCAAATGTTCTTAGGCATCATTTAAAAAGAATAAGCTACGCAATATCCATACCAAATGTTCTTAGGCATCATTCATGACTATGACAATAGCTTTTTGCTGGTGATTCAGTTTCTCTGATACCTTAATTAACTTTTATATTGGTTATATATGCACGAGAGAGATAATCCAACTTTCTTGTCTTATAATTGTCAATTGTGAGATTTAAATTTAGAATCTCTTCCAAAAAAACAGAATATTACAAAACCAAATGGTTACTACTTGCTGGGCCAATGATCATCTTCCACTGAAGATTCAAGTATGCATGTCGATATGATTTAATTAGACAAGTTGACGCTACTAAGATTATATCTTGATTGCAAGAGAGAATTTCTCATACGTAAGATGTCCTGTTAGAACTTAAAATGTGTACATTGTACGACTTGTTTTATATCTAAGTCTTCATCGTACTACCGATCATTCTAATTTAATTACAAAATCACACTACTACATATACTCGCCATCTTCAACCAACGATTTGGCGAACTAAATATGTAACCTAATTGCTATGTTACATGCGTTTTATATGGTTTCCAGACCAAACTGTATTTTGGGCCGTACAAAGCTTTATCTGAGTTTTCAGCCCAAACTTCATGTTTTTATTAGGGTTTTATCTTTATAATTAAACTGAGATAGGAACGTGATTTGCTACCCATCTCTTAGGGTTTTATCTAAATCATCCCGGAGTGGGCTTCCCGCACTTTTTTTCTTGGTTTGTTTGTTATATAATTGATCGAACACTTAAGCTATCATACTTTCAACTAACTTCCAGCCCTCTTTCACACTGGACATATTTATAGAGAACTGAATATAGGACTTTTGGACCTCAAATTGTAGAGGGCTAGCTTATTCTTAACGACTTAAACTACAAATCTTTTGTCGTTCATCGGACATTTGTTTGCAAAATCCACGTCGATTGCCAAAGTGTCGTTGGGGAACCAAGTTCCCAGAAGGCAGAACAAGCGAAAGTACGGAGGGATGACCACGAGCAGAGCAGCATGAGCTCTCCAAGATTGGTTTTTTTAGTACAGTGGCACTAGCTGAACCAGCCAATATATAAATAAAACAATTAGATTGGTGAAACGTATAAAAATAAAATAATTTGATTGGATTACTTAATGAGAAGCATAAAGCACGGCCCAGATGAGTGGGAGCAAAAAGATGAGCCACAAGTGCCTGTAAATTGGATGCATTTGATTGAAACAGACTTCTGAATCAGAAATGGAAGCTACACTTAATGATTGCTAAACCCCCAAGTTAATTATCTGATTAAATCGCTTATCCATATTCCTAATAATTATGATCGATAATAACAATAATAATTAAAAGTCTAAACGCAAAAATCTGAAAGTTAATGGTGAGAGGGATCTTATATTATTTCAAAAGAGCTTACATTCTTGGTGCAGTATGAAAATAAATTATATATAAAAATAAAAGTCTATATTATGCTATGTAGCAGAAAGTTAAAAAAAAAGGATTATATTATGCTAATTTGCAGATGCAGGTACATTCTAGGGTTCTAGAATATAGAAGCCAGCTAATTAGTAATTAACTATGGTTCAAGCCAGCTAATTAATTGGGTAGCTAGCTGGGTTAAATGGAATATAATGCACAGCTCTCTGAGAAAGGTCAAGAAGTTTTATAAAATTAATTAAATTGTGTATATGGTAATTAAAGGAAGACCATGAAGACTTTGAAAACGAATATAAAAAAATATATGGAATACTTGAAACTAACGGATGAATTAGCGCGAAACTGAGCGCAGTGACATTTTATGATTCATACAACTAGCTCCACTTATTAGGATAAACTTGATTGTTGTAGTGTGCGTGACAGGAAAATTATCAGATGTCGGTTTTAATCATTGGATGCTATTATTCCTGGACTGATATGATTTAAGGAGGCCTTTATACTATGCATTCTGTTTAAAGTTGAATTGTAAAAACTGAAAAGTGGATCAAAGAAGGTTTATCAATTTATACTATATTTCAACAATCCAAACCGATTATATTTTAATACATCATTCAAAGATTATCCTTACAAAAAATTAGACAAAACCAAAACCATTGATAGTGAAAAAAATGGACAACTACTATTTTACAAAGAAACACTAAACTTAATTCAACAATCATATGGTTTCGAATTTGGGTGGTTCTTGGTAAAATGATATTTCAGGGAAGATCTAAACGATAAACGGCTCATATTGTTGAAATACATTATAGAGCTAGCCTCACAAAAATGTGCGTCAAAAGCGCGTGTCCCTAAATCTTAACCCATGTACAGAGATATACATGTTGATGCTATACCTTCGTATAAATGGTTTCAAAAAGGGCACCCTTCATTTTGTTTGTTTAGTTTCCTTACCTAAATAAATAAAAAAATGAGAAATTTGGAAAAGTGCTCTGTTTAGAGGCTAAAAGGACTTTTGCTCCACTTTTGTAAATTTATTATAATTTTGTTATTTTTTACGTGTGAAAAGACTTACCTAGCCCTAATCGTATTCAAATCTGTTGCCTAGTTCCGATTATATACTCGAGATCCTCTCGAGAACGACTAGTGCCAATCTCAACAGATCTAGAGTAATACGACGTTAAACAAACATAACACTCGAAGTAAGAGAGATGGCTCAACAAGCATTTGAGATGGAAGCAAGTTGTTCTCGAATTTAGCATTGTGTTCGAATATATAGGGTAATTTTCTTGAAAATTTTACAAAGTTGGGGAAATTAAAGTCTTGACAAATTACAATTATTGCAGATTATTAGTGTGGATCACGTTATACTTGCAATAATATTTTCCAATCAATATATGTACGGACAAGGATTGTCTGCCCTCCTGTTTTGTGTGGTCATGGTTAAGTTACGTCAACATTTTATTTTGTTTTTTTATAGAGATAATAAGACAAAAATGAATAGTAATATAAAATGTTGACGTGGCTTAGTCGTGACCACACGAACAGGAGGGCACGGAAGGGCACATGAGGAAATCGGAAGTGGGAGGGCAGATAATCCTTGTCCGATATGTACATATGCTTAATCCTACTACTATATGTATTTGTCCCACTATATTTGTACCTTTCAATGATCACGCACCATTACTCCAACATGCGAATTACGCAATGTAATTAAGCTGACGTACACTACGTAAGAAGAAAGTAGTTAAGACTCAAATACAAACTAGCCGTTTGTCTAGTGTTATGTTTCTCTTTTCGACACTCTAAAAAAGATCATAAGCTCGTATTGAATTCTTCCTTTTTTTATTGTCAACAAATAACCCTTATTTTAAAGACGATTATTTCTCTAATGTTAAAAAAGGTCATAAGATGGTCTAAGGCTAGTTACAGTTCTTTTTTTCATATCGAAAAAGGTCTCGAGTGCTTCGAGTCGAATTCTCCTTCCTTATTAGTTCAGAGAAAAATAAATAAATAACCAAAAACAAAAAAAAGGAAGCAGGGACAATAGCTGAACATCTTGTGAAATATTCTTCATCATTCATTTGAAAAGTGGAGCACTTAACTTAATCACGGTAATTACCTTCACTTCACATCACAGATAATGGCATTTTGCCTCTCACTTTCTTGGAACACAAGAAAATTATTAAGAAAAATAATCACGTGATCTCGTCTTCAAGTCTTGATGTCTGAAATATAACTTAATTTGAGACCACCGCAACTGTAAAATCATAAGAAATAAAGAAGTAAAAATATCTTAGCCAAAAAAGTAATTTTAACGTTACGAGTTCCCGTGAGTGTTGGTATTAGTCATTCTCATTCCTCACACTTTGATAAATTTCTATTTTTTACTCCTCATAATCAGTTACATTATATATCTAATTTTAAAACTCGAACATGTATTGGTGCGGAACTATAAACCCTAAAAGTTGCAATGGGAGACAAAGACAGAGATCAGTATTCACGTATTTAACGGGTGCATATAATATAGGACCTCTTCAAAAAGCAAAGTTGTTATGTGGTATTCAAATAATGTCACGTGTATAATAAGTTTGTATGTTATAATACGAGTGTATGAAGTTGTATTTTAGAATATAGTATTAATAAGAATCCATACGTATTGTTAGGACAAACAAGCTGATTATATGATGCGGCAATGTTTAAATTGGTAACAAACTTGTGGATTTAGTATTAAAAATATGAACTAATTATTAGTTTATTTAAAAATGTTTTGAAAATAGTTGAAATCGTTTTTGATGAATGTATAATTGCATGAAACCATAATAGCCCATCTCAATCGGTCCCGAGACTTGAGCTTCTGTCTATATATATACGAATCTGTCAACCTTCTGATAGGTTTGTAACATAACTATATAATATACATACATATAAAAAGATAAGAATATCGAATTAGTTTATATAGAAAAACGTACATTAAATATTCATAATCTTAGTCCTAGTTTGATATTGAGGTGATTCTGAAAAAAAAGTGGCTATAAAAAAAAAAACTAGGAGCTTTTTTATGTTTGGTAAACATTCATCTTCAGCTTTTTTTTCACAATTTTGGATAAAAAAGCCAAAAACACAAAGCTGCAAAACCCAGCTTTGAAAAAACAGCTTATTTTCACATTTATTTTATATAAAAGTTTATCAAACATTATAATACTGTTTTTTTTTTCAAAACACTTTTACAAAAAAGTTTACCAAAACATTCTACTGCTTTATTTCACAGTTGCTTATTCTTAGATGACAGTAAAAGTAATTTTTTTTTCAAAGCAGCAATACTAAACCAGTCCTCAACCGCTATAAATTGAAAGCATCCGTCTCAAATGAACAAAAGGGAAGCAATTTCACAAAGCACTTTCACAAAAAGCTAGCTGTCTACATTGACAGTTTGGTTCAAGAGTAACAATGAACAACACCATGGATTCAAAGAAATCAAACAAGATCAGAGACATTGTCAGGCTCCAACAGATTCTCAAAAAGTGGAGAAAGATTGCTAACTCATCAAAAGCAATATCCACCGCCACCACTACCTCTTCCACCAGCAAGAGCATCAAGTTTCTGAAGAGGACACTTTCTCTGTCTGAAAAAACAACCACTTCATGTGAAGCCTCAAACAATGCTGCTGTCCCAAAAGGCTACCTTGCTGTCTGTGTTGGGGAAGAGCTCAAGAGGTTTGTCATCCCAACTGACTACTTGGGTCGGCCAGCTTTCCACATTCTGTTGAGAGAGGCGGAGGAGGAGTTTGGGTTTCAGCAGACCGGCGTTTTGAGGATTCCATGTGAGGTTTCTGTGTTTGAAGGTATTCTGAAGATGGTGGAGGAAGACAAGGACTTGTTCTTCAATAATATGGTGGGAGGTTGCTCAACAGCATCAGATGGCCAGCTCAACTTTTCTCACCACCTAGAAAACCCAATGTGCATATAGGGTTTTGATCTTCTTCTTCTTTTTTTCCCTTTTCTTTACTCCTCAAGATCTTATCTTTCAGATGAGAAGGAGGTGAAAGAAATCTGAAGTTGAGTTACGTAAATTATCTTCTGATGCATTTTGTCAGGCATCCAATCCCAATTCAACATCTGATTTTCTGAGGCATCTAATCTACTATTTTGGTAGCAGAACTGCTACGATATGGTACTGTACTTACAGCTTATATTAATAATACATATATAGACTAGCACTAAACGTTAATCAATTAGTAAGATAATCACTCATATGGACATCTAATCGAAGCAGTCATAGTCAATAATCTAAGATCATCCATTAGATTTGGAAATCAAAAGGTATCCAATTAAAAAAAATGAAACGTTGGGAAAAAGAGGTTGGTTCAATCAAAAGAAAAAAGAGGCTTGGTCAATATTTCTCCTGGTGACACCAATAAAAAATGTTTAATAACGTCTGTCAGGACAGTTTCATGAACTTTGAAAAAGGATAACAGCAGATAAATTAAATTTGTAGATAAAATTTACAAATAAATAACGTATCATTAATAAAAATCAGCACGTTCATCAATGTTTAAGTAATAATTCAATTAACTTTCATATCATTTAATTTACAAAATTTAATTTCTATAGTATTACTTCTTTAAAAATACCCATAGTACTAGCAAGTACTATTAACACCGAAAGTGTTGTCAGATAATAAGAGCCTCCAGATTTTCAATGCTTACATTCTACGTAAGTTTGTTGTCAGCAAACCACTCGTCTGAGTTTGCCACCTATATACTAAATTATAAGAAAATATTAACTCAAGTCATGTGTACGCATGTGTAGATTAATTCAGATCCAATAACGGTCCTAACTAGACGTACAGAGATCGTAGCATGGTTTAATTATTATTGTATATATACTCTACAGTTGGTATCCTATGTCTGCGATGCAGAAAGTCGGAAACAAAATGCTTAGTTTAAAGACTTTCGGATGCGTAAAACAATACTATATTGCAGACATTTTGCACTTGCATCAAGTAATAAACACCGAAAATCTACCATTGGCAGATTTTAGTTTCACAATTTGCTCGTTCATGTGCATTCTTCTGTTTCAAACTTGAGGAAGCAAAGCCATGTGTCAATGGTGACAATCAAGGCAAGGAAAATGTAAGATATGATGCAGTTTGAGTTGAAAAAAATCCACAGTAAGGTCCTGTAAAACGGGCTGAATTTTCATGAAAACCTGGGGTTAGAGTTGTAACTCCCAATCAATCTCTTGCAAAACTTTTGAAAAAAAAAAATCTCTTACAAAACCATTAATCTGAACGACGAAGAAAGAATTTTATGTAAGTCTATATTGATAAAGTCGTTTTATATCAATGATATAAAATATGTGTAAATTTACATAGACAACAAAAACCAGAAAACGGTTTTCTCATTTTTCACTTGTAAATTGCTTCCTCTCAAACAAAACTATGCAAACATAAAACATGAGAACCTGAAAAATGAACATAAGCTGTGCAAAAATTGGAGGAATTCGACAATCATATCACATTCATGTATTGGCGGAGGAAAGAATCACACTCGAAATTTCACGTGCAGCGTCTTTGATACAAGAAATTGGAGGCTTAAATAGACACCTTCTCACCATCATTGTAATTTGGGAATGTGACACATTTGAATGCCTTGCGCTTTGAACACAACTGACCAATCTGCATTCACATAAAATATAGTTTATTAGAATAAAAAAACACACCGACAACTCCAAGTTTTACACAGAAACACTTCAATAAATGAACTGAGGAAAACACGATCGTCTATTCACGTATCATTCTCTAATTGATTATTAGTTGTTGAAACCTTTTTTCCTTATCAAGTTAGTCTAATTTTTTCACTAGATTATTGCGTTTGAAGTGTTTTTCTAAATTATAATTTTTTAAGGAGTACATGTAAAACAAAAAACCTAAAAATCAATATTTCACTTCAAAGTCCATAAAAATCAAACCTCTCAAACAAAAAATTCTTGGGTTTTGTGAGGAGGAGGAGGAGCTCAAAACTCACAGCTCTGCAAGATGGGCATCGAAGATAGATTCGATTGGTCTCGGATTTCACATTCGTTTTCTGCCCTTTGCAAAAATCGCAAAGCAGCCACCCTATCCCGTTACAATCCTCGCAGAGAATAGCCATCTCAGCCTTGCAAAAAACTGGAACCAAATCAGTCGGACTGTAAATAAGTATACACTTCGGCTGTTCTGCAGTTGCAGGAAAACGACTTGGCAGTTTCAGTTTGCTTGCCTCTTGTTGTTGTTGGACGATAGGGCGAGCAATGCGGGGGCTCGAAGAAACGACTTGTCGCTGGCGGCGAGGAGGGAGAAGTACGTGGAGGAGTGAGGTTCCGGGCGGCGACGAAGGACGTCGTCGTCCCCGTCATTGGGATTGGCTTGCAGCTAATCTTCTCGTTATCCGAATAGCAGAGGTGTAGTCTGACGTGGCTACTAAATTACAAGATTGCCACTCCACCAATGCAAATTTGAAGTGGTAATTCAAATTGTTTGAGGATATCGATTTGGGCCTTTTCCGATACATGGGCTTTCATTGGGGCCATCGACTTGGGCCTTCTCCGTATATTATGGGCGGGAAGTGTTCTTATTAGTGAAAGATAAGATATTGGAAGAAGGTTGGAGAAACCCCCAGAAGAAACCACCCACCATAACCAAAACCAAATAAATAAAAATAAAAATAAAATCCTAAAACTGAAAATCCAGACGGTGCGAAGCACGTGAAGCGGACGGAGAGAGAGAGATTGAATTAGGGTTTTTGAATTGCAGAGATGAAGCGCAAAGACTATGAAGAATTAGACGACGACTTATTCTCTCCTTCCTCAAAATCCAGGAGACTGGTAGGCTCTCTGCGCTCCCAATTTTTCCTTTTTTTTTTTTTTTTTTTTTTTTTTTAAAGGTTTCAATTCCCAATTTCCCAGCAATTTAGGGTTTGTTCCCGCGCTTTTTCCTCACTTTTATTCAATTCTCAACAATTCGTTACCAAAATTTTATGTTATGGTTACGGACTATTAATTCGTTACCAAAATTTTATGATATGGTAATGGACTACGACCCACTTTCTGTCTCTCAAAATTGTTGCAGTTTTTGATGTAATTATTGTTTTTTGTTGTGGAATTTTGAAGGATGCTGGGTTATTTGCAACTTTGAATGAAGACCAAAGTAGTGCAGCTCAGGTGTTTGATGAAAAGCCAGCACCAGAAACCAGTGTTGTGATGCAAACAGATGATTTGCCAACGGACCCTTTGCCTTCAGGGGATGAGAAGGCTCTTGTGCTCTATAACCCCGCGAATACGCGGATTTTCAAAGCACCCGATTCGCAGGATTTCTCTGTCATTGTGAATTCGGACTTGATTCCAGGTTTAAGGGGTAAGCCTCTGGATATCTGTATTGCTGTTACATTATGGACGAAGAAATTTAAGATTACTAAGAAATGTTAAAATGACGGGATTTTATTTTCTAGAATTTGTGGATTTTCTTATTTGGTTAACAAAAAAACAATGGAATTGAATACATAATTTGTTATTTTTAAACTCTAAATCATAGGAATTGGAAAATGACACTTATTTACATGGAATTTAAATTTGGGCATCGGAGATTCCAAATTCCAAGTTTTTTTTTACGCAGAAATTCTAAATTTCTATATTTATGAATCCAAACAAGGCTGTTGGTGCATGTCAATTTATAAATTATGATTATCTAAATTTCAAGTTTATTTTCCTCATCCAAACGTAGTGTTAGTGTTACTCTTTCAGAACCATGTTTTAGATATGTGGCAAATCGTTGTGATTATATAATCTAATTTCAAGTTACTAGTATGTCAACTGTGAAAGCTTTTTGAGCTGCCTAGGTTCATTCGTTGTGGGACGAGTGAATTGACATAGTGAATGAATCTGTTTGTGATCTTTTTGCAATGTGTGTTGATATTATCAGTAACCTTTTGATGGAGATGACTAGGTGGGTGCTATGCTTTGTTTAAATCTGTTTTGTGTACCGTTGTAAGCTTATTCTTCGATGTAATCATATGTCAAAGTTATCATGTTCACAATTCAGAAAAACATGAAGAACGGTGATTTGTTTTCATTTCTTAGAATGAACAGATATTTGTGGTATCCATCTGAGCTTTACTTGAAATTGATATCATGCCTTTTACTAACCGAATTGTTTCTGGCAGATCATATTTATTCATGGGGATATTCAAAATTGCTAAAACCGGTAGAGGATCCTGGATCCAATGAGAAAAACAAAGAAGTTTCAAATGGGTGTATGGCTGTTGTTCCCTGGGTTGCACCTAACTTCCCACCAGCATCAAGAGATGAGACACAGGCTGCAAGCCAGTCGGAACCCATGGAACTTGAAATGATGGACACCGATGATAATGGTTACAATGGCACGGAAGCATCAGGGTTTGGTGGAACGATGATGGAAGGACCCGGTGGGATACAACACTGGCAGGAACAGCAGTTACATTGGATGGAGCCACAGCTCATCCAGAACAATTATACTCCGGTCACTTAATATAACTCGCAACTTACAACAACTTTGGTTGAGCTGTGCATTCTTTAGTTCTTCGAAGACACCTAGTACCGGTCTAGTATTTTGTTCAAACTGCAATGGTTATGCTGCTGATGAATTCTGCCACTTCTAGGGAAATTTTGTAAATTTAATCCGTGGAAAGTCTGAGTTGCTTTCGGTTTCATCCCCAGTTTTGAGATAAATCGTGTATTGTAGGTCAATTGCGGAATAAATCTCAATGTTAAAGTTAATTTCTGGACCAGATCCTAATTCATTCGCCTTTGATTTATTCAATCAAAATTATTAAACGAGGTATAGGTGTGAATGCATGCTGAACGCTGAAAAAAAAAAATTGAAAATGCAAAAATCACTTGCTATCGAAGAAAAAAAAAAAAAAGTGAAAATCACTTACTATCGTAGAAATTCTGAAAATAATTATGAAATGTACTGATGCCTACTAGACAAGCTTCAAAGATGGAAATCTCAGCTAATCTGAAGAGCAAAAGCAAATCGATATACGAGCAGTTAAACGCCTCCCAAGCTATCGTCATCGCAAGGGGGCTGCCTGAATTACCACTCGATTCCAATACCAAAATCCATAGATTTGAATTTAAATAAATAAAAATGGGGAAAGAAATACCAAAATCCATAAATTTGAATTTAAATAAATACGGGAAAATGTATCAACCTCAACAGAAAAAATCGCCAGAGTAAATAAAAATATCGTAGCGAAATTGGGTGAAAAGGTTGAGAGGTTGATGTAGGGAAGCTGCATTCATCTCTATGGCACCGTTGTAAATAAGCCAAAGAGCCAAACTCCAGCCCCATAAAAATCATAATTCAATTCGCCTACATTTAAATTTCACAAAATTCAAGATGCAAAACATAAACCCAGAAACCCTAAAACAGAGAAACACAAGAAGCAATTAGGGATTCGGCTGAAAGGGAATTGTAAGGCTACACTGGCGACCGGTATATAAAGGGAGGAGAAACCCTCACGGGGATACGAAATTACAGATATGTACATTGGAATATTGATTCTTCCAAGGCCCAAACCAATTTCTTCCTTGAAAGTAATGCTCCAATGTTGCACCTGTCTTTCATTTTTCCTGGGCCGGATTTGAATTTTGACAAGGACAAATGGACTTGACCCACGACAAAGGGCAAGAGTGGATTGGTGCAATGCATGCGAAAGAGAACATTGCATGTTAGGAGAAAGAAAAAACGTGTTTTGCTACTTAGTATTACAATCTAATAGTATTTTTCTTCATTTGTAAGTGTGAGGTTTTAGGTTCGATTCTCGCCAAAGAGAATTTGAACCGCATTTTTACTAGCTCATTATGAGGCTTCGTCCACTTCATCACCCTCTTAATGTAAATAATATTGTTTGGTAAAAGAAAGGTAGCATGTTTTAAATAATTGGATGTTGATATGAGATTATTTATCCGTTAATTTACTGGATTAATACAATACAATTTGTCAAAACAACAAGTCAACATGAACATAATAAATGTATTGCATTACTTTCATTAATACAATTGATAGTGTATCCGTGTCATATAATGTCTGCGTACAGTTTACTACAAATATACGATTCCAGTCATGGATGGTTACTTGAGATTCCTCCCAACAAATTGGGCCTCAATTCGGGAAACATTATTGTAAAGAAGTTATTCGAACAAACCACCAACCAATTATCCCCTTTATCATCCTCTCTTCTCCAGCCCAAATCATTGTCGCCCGGATTCTTCGGAAAACGGAGCTGTTTCGGATTATACGACATCGGAAAGCGCGAAGATCGCCCATCCTAACTGACGTGGCATTGACGTGTATTATTACCTAACTCTAGCCGCGGAGCTGAAGAAAGAAAGAAGAAGAGGATAAACATCAAATCAAAACCGGCAAAAACCCGCTCCTCAATCCCTTCGTAATTATTCCAAAAACGACACCCGTCTCTATTTTCTTATCCTTAATTACGTAATTACCCAAACGCTTCTTCTTCTTCCTCTATAACTGACATTCTCTTCTCCTCCTCCGCCGCAGCCACCAACTGCTATTTTCTAGAGAGAGAAAGAGGGGAGAGAGAGAATGAGGATTGACGAAGAGAGCGAAGGAGTGTCGGCGTCGAGGAAACACCTGGTCTTCGCTTACTACGTCACCGGCCACGGCTTCGGCCACGCCACTCGCGTCGTCGAGGTCAATTTCTCACTCCAATCAGTCAAACTTTTCAAAATTTTTTGTGTCGAGTTTCCATTGGCTGCTGATCAGCGCCGCATTCTGTGAGTGTAGGTTGCGCGGCACCTGATTCTCGCCGGCCACGATGTCCATGTCGTCACGGGAGCTCCAGACTTCGTCTTCACTTCCGAGATTCAATCGCCTCGCCTCTTCATTCGAAAGGTAACGCTTTTACGTGTTCAGGCTCGCAATTTGCATGTTTATTTATCAAAATTACAATTTTGTAGAATCAAATTGTGATTGTTGATAATTTTAGCTTGAAATTAGTAATGTAGCAGTGGAAATTCACTAATTTATGTAATGGTAAACAAAATTATGATAATTTATATGATTTTTGATATTTTAGCTTGAACTTAGTAGTTTTGCAGTGGAAATTTTAGTGATGTAATGTAATGGTAAACAAAATTGTGATAATTTATATGATTTTTGAAGATTTAGCCTGAAATTAGTGATGTAAAGTTGAAATTTTGGCAATATATGGAATGGTGTGGATTTTAGGTTCTTCTGGACTGTGGAGCTGTTCAGGCAGATGCTTTAACAGTTGATCGTCTTGCTTCCTTGGCGAAGGTAGCGACTAATTTCTATCTGCTGTTTTTTTTATTGTATTTTTTATACCGGCAATGAAGTAATGTTGCTTTTCGATTTTGTTTTTCAATTATTCCTAAATTTTGGCTATTTTTGTTGTGTTTGCTTTTCTTTTGCTTGGCTGTGTTAGTATTCGGAGACAGCTGTGGCACCTCGGGCTTCAATCTTGAAAACAGAAGTGGAGTGGCTGACCTCCATCAAAGCTGATTTAGTGGTACTTAAAATGCGCTTCTTCTGTGGTTTTGTTATTCATTGCTTTTTAGTCGGTTAAGCATGAATTGAAGGGAACTTGGATTTGTGTTTATATTTCCCTGATGATCTTGACTCTGATTGATATCTTGTTCTACTTGTACAAGAACAGGTCTCTGATGTTGTTCCAGTTGCGTGCCATGCAGCGGCTGATGCAGGAATTCGATCTGTTTGTGTCACCAACTTCAGGTATCTTGCTATTACTAGCATTCGATTTTGCTCCAACTCTCATAATTTTTAAATGTAAAAGCATATCTTGAAGTGATAGTTCCAGTTATGACTTATGATGATCTTGAGTTGTCCAACCATTTTTTGAAACTCTCTCTGCTCTTTGTTGCTCTATACAGTTGGGACTTTATCTATGCAGAGTATGTTATGGCTGCTGGAGATAATCATCGTTCAATCGTTTGGCAGGTGACCTTCCTGTGCTTTAGACTGAATTATTTACTTTAAGATTTTAGTCATTTGCTCATTGCATCTCACCCACTCTCTCCATTTGATATGATCCAGTCTGTGTCTCTATATATCAATGTAGGATGTGAAACATACTTAAAAGTGATAATAAGTTCACATATGGGTTCTTGATGTTCCTGTGTAAATTTCCTCTGTGTCAATATAGATAGCAGAAGATTATTCCCACTGTGAGTTCCTCATCCGCCTCCCAGGATACTGCCCAAGTATGTTGCTTTCTACCCCAAGACAGTGGCTTCCTTGTGTTTATTTATCATTGTTCTCTTTTTGGTTCAGGGAATTGTTGATTAGTTTACCTCCTATTGTTGTTATGACTTTGCAGTGCCTGCTTTCCGTGATGTAGTTGATGTACCTCTAGTTGTGAGGAGGTTTCGCAGATCCCGCAAAGAGGTTTTCATCTATAGATCTTTAACAAATCACTTTCATTGTTGATTAAATTGATCGCATTGATTTTTCATTCTTTTCCTGGTATAGGTGAGGGAGGAACTTGGAATTGGAGATGATGTAACTCTAGTCATCCTCAATTTTGGTGGACAGGTGAAATTGCTGTTTTAGTCATGTATTTGGTTTCACAAAGAAACCACTTTGTGAGTGTGTATATTCTTATTGTACTTGTATTTCTCTATCTGCAGCCAGCAGGCTGGAATTTGAAGGAAGAGTTTTTACCCCCTGGATGGCTGTGCCTGGTATTTTCATAGCATATGTCCTACGTTTTCGTTCTGTCTAATGGTGCTCAGATATTTTATAACAAAAAAAGGTTTTTGTTTTTCGATTCAGGTTTGTGGTGGTTCTGACACCCAGGAGCTTCCGTCAAATTTCATAAAGCTTGCAAAAGATGCTTATACACCTGATTTTATGGCAGCGTCTGACTGTATGCTTGGTAGAGTATGAAACTATTTTGGCGGGAAGCTTATGTTGAATGGATAGAGATTGACATTTTTTTTTGGTTCATTTTATTTCAGGAAAAATTGGATATGGCACTGTGAGTGAAGCTCTTGCATACAAGTTACCTTTTGTCTTTGTACGCAGAGATTATTTCAATGAAGAACCTTTCTTGAGAAATATGCTTGAGGTATGAATATGATCCCCTATCTTACAAAAGAATAATAGAACACGTCATGTTGAACAATGACGTATACACAACACATGTCGTGTGCACAACGCATTTATGTTCAACAATGATACAAGTAATTTTGGGCTCATTTAGTATCCTTCTTGGATTCAATTTTTTTGTTTTTAAATAATTGATGAATGCAGTTAAATTACTTAAGACCCATAACAACCCCTTATATTTTGTTGAAGTCTGTGACCCATTGATTTCCGATAGTAAGCATGATTAAGAATCTCTTTCTTTCCTCTCTTATATTCTTGTCAAGAATCTGATACTAGTTGGGTTTAAAATAATCTCTTGTAACAGTATTATCAAGGTGGCGTTGAGATGATTAGGAGGGACTTGCTCACTGGTCACTGGAAACCTTACCTTGAGCGTGCAATCAGTTTGAAGCCATGCTATGAAGGAGGTATCAATGGTGGTGAGGTACCATTGTTGTTTCTGGAATCCTATGATTAGTTATACACTTGTGTTTTGCATCTGTGTGGTAATGTACAATTTGGAAATTATAGGTGGCAGCTCACATCCTGCAGGAGACTGCTATTGGGAAAAACTATGCATCAGATAAGGTAATTAAACTTTCAGAATTGGTAATTTTAAGAAAAAGGAGTATAAAATCAACTCGTAGATTTCAGAACTCAATACCAAATAGTTTTATTACCACTATCAGTCTGACACAAATTTCGTGTGGAAATTAATTAGCCAAACTGTGCAAAGCCAACAATAAAAGGTCTAAGGTTGGTTGGCAGAAGACTCATTTGAACAATTTGTCAAAAAAACTACTATGTTTCAATGAAATAAACTCACATTTTGATTCCCCTTTTCTCATACTAAAATGTAGCTAAGTGGGGCAAGAAGATTGCGTGATGCCATAATTCTAGGGTATCAACTACAGAGGGTACCTGGACGTGATATGGCAATTCCTGAATGGTATGCAAATGCGGAAAGTGAACTTGGAATTGGATCACCTACTTGCAAAGTGAGCGAGAAGAGCTCCCTAATGAACTCGTGAGTTGCATCTTCTATCACTCTTGTTTTTATGCAAGAATTAATTGGATACTTCATATTAACATCAATGCAACTCTATTTTTAGATGCACTGAAGACTTCGAGATTCTTCATGGAGATCTTCATGGTATTTCAGATACAATGACTTTTTTGAAGAGCTTGGCAGAACTAGATTCTGTTTATTACTCTGAAAAAACTACTGAGAAGCGCCGGGAGCGCAAGGCTGCAGCTGGACTCTTCAACTGGGAGGTCTCACTTGGTTCAACTAAAATCTGATAGGCTTTGTCTTAAGTTTTAAATTTTTTATAACCATATCAGCAATGCCAGTATTGTTTAGAAGTTTGGCTGAGGAAAATTGTAGATGTTTTTCATATTTTTTCAGAATCTGAATTGTTTTTACAATGATTTTTCTGAGTAATTGTAATTGATTTTTGGGACACAGGAAGAAATTTTTGTGGCAAGAGCACCTGGACGGTTGGACGTAATGGGAGGGATTGCTGACTATTCAGGAAGCCTGGTCTTGCAGGTTTGTCTCTGTACTATTTGATGGATATTTGTTGTTCTGTCTGCTAAGCCTACTCTTGCCACTTGGTGCAGTGTACACATGTGTGCGCACTCTCACTGGCACGCAGACACACACATATTGTTGAAAACAGAAACCTAGCATTCAAACTAGACTCATGGGACAAAAACCTTGTCTTTCCTCCTGACAGTTTCTTCTGATGTTTTCTCTCACAGATGCCGATAAAGGAAGCCTGCCATGTTGCTATACAACGAAATCATCCAAGTAAACATAGGCTCTGGAAACATGTCCTGGCCCGGCAGCAGGCAGAAGGACGAAAACCAACACCTGTCCTGCAAATTGTAAGTTTAAGCATTAAGAGTCAATATGTCTCTTAAGTATAGGAAGTGGGGTTGTCTTTATCTTTGGGAAGTGAGAAAGGTTTAGACTGTCGATATAGTTTCTCCTATTGACACAATAACATCTGGTTGTTAATTTTCAAAGTTATCCCAACAGCTTATGGAATGATGCCTGTGTGTAGGAAATACCTGCTTTTAAAAATAGAAATAAATATAATTGTCATTACCATTACCATTACCATTTTCATATATTGGTTGTATCAGGTCTCATATGGTTCAGAGTTAAGCAACCGTAGCCCAACATTTGACATGGATCTATCTGATTTTATGGACGGAGATAAACCAATGTCATATGAGAAGGCAAAGAAATACTTTTCACAAGATCCATCCCAAAAGTGGGTCAATCATCCTTCTTCAATTTGTCTGTATCTGTAACTTTGTAAACTACTTACATGGTTTCAATTTCAGGTGGGCGGCATATGTTGCAGGTGTCATTCTGGTTTTGATGATAGAACGAGATGTACGTTTTGAGGACAGCATCAGTTTGCTGGTATGTGTAGGCATTTTTGTTTAGAATACGTTGATTTGTTCAGTTGATATATAGCGTACTCTAAGGTTGCTTACAAATAGCTTACTGTCATATATTATGACCATAATGTTGACATCTCCACTTGCAATAACATACAGGTTTCTTCCTCAGTCCCGGAAGGCAAAGGTGTCTCTTCTTCTGCTTCTGTGGAAGTTGCTACCATGTCTGCCATAGCTGCTGCCCATGGTATTTTCATTATTCAAATTAGCTTTTTTTAGCTATTCTAATTGTATATTTAAGAACAACAGAAGCAGTCCTTTTTAGGTGCTTACATAATTATGTTTTAAAATTTATTATCATATAAAGCAATGGAAAACAAATGACTGAAACCGACCCTGTGCTTTGTAGGATTAAGCATCAGTCCCAGAGATCTTGCTTTACTTTGCCAAAAGGTTGAACCTTCAGCACAGTATATAATTAACGTAGACTGCTTTTCTTTTGATATTTTCATTGTGTTCATAATTTTGATTATTCTAGTTGTATATTAGGTGGAGAATCATATTGTTGGAGCACCATGTGGTGTGATGGACCAGATGACATCTGCATGTGGTGAAGCAAACAAGCTTCTTGCGATGGTGTGCCAGGTATCCGCTATTGATGTTGCAGAGAACAACCATCTTGCTGCATTTCTCATATAGAGATATTATGTCATTTATTTTTTTGTTTGATTCTCCCTACAGCCTGCTGAGGTTCTTGGACTTGTAGAAATTCCTGGCCATGTTCGCTTTTGGGGAATTGATTCAGGAATAAGACACAGGTTATCCATGACACATCGTCTTATATATATCAACTAAACTATCTTTAACCTCATTACCAAAATCATATTTTTTGTCCCTAAAATCAAATAAGGAATTGCACTTGAGTCTTGCCGTTTTTCTTCTTGTATAGTGTTGGAGGTGCGGATTATGGATCTGTTAGAATAGGTGCCTTTATGGGTCGGAAGATGATAAAGTGCGCAGCATCTATGATTTTGTCTCGATCATCATCAACTGCATATGGGACAATCGATGAGTTGGAGGATGATGGTTATGAACTACTTGAAGCTGAAGCTTCATTAAATTACTTGTGCAACCTGCCACCTCATAGGTAATATTCTCCACCAGGACTTTTTAAGAAACTCATTAAATATTAAGGTTCACTTACTGGCCAAAAAACAAAGGCGAAGTTTTTAGCTAAATACCTTACATCTGTATTGATCATGTAGAAGTTTATTTATATTTTCATAACTTGAATTTCAGATATGAGGCTCTTTATGTTAAGGTGCTTCCTGAAACTATACTTGGTGAAACTTTTCTTGAGAAGTATGATGATCACAACGATCCAGTTACAGTAATTGATCCAAATTGCAGCTACGTAGTGAGATCACCTGCTAGACATCCTATATATGAAAATTTCCGGGTTAAGGTTAGTACCGGAATATTATATGACGATACTTTTGTTTCTTGTTTTATGGACTACTATTTAATCATCTAAGTTATTTTTGGTATTTACTTGATGTGTAGACCTTCAAAGCACTGCTAACATCTGCAAATTCAGATGATCAGCTTACAGCTCTTGGAGAATTACTGTATCAGGTATGTACAAGTTTCTGATTTTGCAAGATAGTTGAAGAAAACTTGAAAATTAATGCGCTAAAACAAGTTCTAGTTTGGGCAAGTTGAAAGATCATTTCTATATGCCAGTTACCTGCTCGTGAAATAAAGAAAGAACGAGATGCGCACCCATAAAATTTGAATCATGATATGTTACTTGAATATAGGTTCAGAACATATTATGTATTGGTTCCATGTCACCTACAAATCTCGGTCTACTAGTTAGCTAGCCAGTACCCGAACATAATCTTCTTTTGCAGTGTCACTACAGCTATAGTGCTTGCGGACTTGGCTCTGATGGAACAAATCGGCTTGTACGGTTGGTACAAGAGATGCAATATGCTAAATCATCTAAATCCGATGATGGGACGTTGTATGGAGCCAAGATTACAGGTGGAGGTTCCGGTGGAACGGTTTGTGTTGTCGGAAGGAATTGTCTGCAGAGCAGCCAACAAATTTTGGAGGTAATTCTATCAGGAAGAGATTTTTTTTTATTAAGATCGTCACTGCAGTAGCTAATAGATTTTGATCTATGCAGATTCAGCAGAGGTACAAAGATGCAACAGGGTATCTGCCATTTATTTTCGAGGGCTCGTCGCCTGGTGCCGGCAAGTTCGGGTATCTAAGAATACGCCGCCGTGTCTCCGTCGATCCGAATGAGTAATGTATTGGAGTATAAATTGTCTTGTAATTTGCCTTAATTTAAGCCGTCGATTCAAGGATCACATTTGGTACAAGTCTCTTGCGGACGTATAAGATTATTCCAAGTCCAAATAATAGTTGTTCTTGATCAATGCCTCAAACAAGTATAGAAACCTCCAATTATTACGAAATACACTGAATACGGATCACAGAACAACATACGCTGTTTATACGGATCACAGAACGACATACGCTGTTTATACGGATCAGAATCTACAACTGAATCTAGGATTATGACGCAGGTGGATTCTCGCGATCCTGCTGAAAGAACTACTCGTCTGTTGCAACCGTTGGCTTTGCTTCGGGCAGCTCCAGCTTTTCCATAAAACCCGAAGTCATCTTGATCATCTTGACGAAATCTTTCATGTGTAGTTGTTTCCATTCCTTCTCATTTTAAAGGGATCAAACCAACCAGGAAAGTCAGACAAATGTAAAGAGAGCGCTAATGCTAACCAAAATCGATAACATTAGAACGTTCTTTAATAGGTTCTCTTAAAGATCGTTTGATAACCATTTTGTTTTCAGTTTTCAATATCTATACACGAACTCGAACAGAAAAGTAACTTTGTTCCATTTCGTTTACTTATTTTGTTTCGATCCTCCTAAGAAGTAAGAAGAAAGAAGAGTTTACCTCGAAATCCCAGTCTCCGTACAAGTTTGGATCATTTTTGTTGCTCCAAACGTATGCTTGAACAAGCAAGCTCTCAGAAGTATCCTGCAGAAAAAAATTGCCGCCCTCCATCAAGTCCACAAAATTTGTTTGGATCATTTTGGTGAAAACATTTTTGTGACCAAATACCCTAAACCTTTCCCAAGCAGTGTCTTCAATCTGATATTCTCATAGCATTGTATTGTAGGCAAGTAAATATTTACCATCAAGTGAGTAAAAAGTAAAAAGTGAATACCATCAAAGATACATCAACAGTGCTTCTTTCATACTCAGGCACAGCGCCCTCAAATTCATCTAAAATATGTAATTCAGGATCTGTGATGCCCAACAGCACCTGCAGAAAACACACACACAAAAAAAAATTACTTTGATTATGTGATTAATTATGTAATCTAAACTTGATTAACAACGATAACTTGCCTTGCCGGCAACTGTTTTATTCTCGACGGGTAGAATCGCCGGATAAACTCTTTCTTTGATGCTGTACCTATGACTGCACGTTCATTTCCACATCAGCATTATATCATCTCATCGAATTATATTTATCTGAGAGAGAGAGAGAGAGAGAGAGAGAGAGAGACTGACTGGCCATTGAGGAGGGCAGGGGAGGATTGAGGGACGCGATTTAAGAGGACACGGCAGACATCCTCCGCCATGAGGCTGCCGTACACGAACACCTTGTGGGGGCTCTGCGACTGACCACCTACGTTCGCCACCACTGAACTCGTCGCACCACCACTCATCTCTCTCTCTCTCTCTCTCTCCCTCGAATACTGGAAGTGTGAAATTCAGGTGGTCAACTTTTCAGCTCGTCATACTTGTTCACCATAGCATATTATAACCACTACACGACAATGATACCATTATTTTTTTTATTTAAAATTTTTAGATGCCTTATGAGAATAAATACGATTGGTTGTTATTTATATGATGATAATTACGTTTTCTACTTAATGCATACGAGCCTTCATGCAAGCGTGTAACCGCTACACGATAATAATATTATTAATTTTTTATTTAAAATTTTTAGATGCCTTTTGAGAATAAATACGATTGGTCATCATTATATGATGATAATGATGTTTTCTACTTAACGCATACGAGCCTTCATGCAAGCGCGTAACCGCTATACGACAATAATATCATTAATTTTTTTATTTAAATTTTTTAGAGGCCTTTTGACGACCATTTATATGATGATAATGATGTTTTCTACTTAACGTATACGAGCCTTCATGCAAGCGCGTAACCGCTACACGAGACGACAATAATATTATTAATTTTTTTATTTAAATTTTTAGATGCCTTTTGAGAATAAATACGATTGGTCGTTATTTATATGATGATAATGATGTTTTCTACTTAACGCATACGAGCCTTCATGCAAGCGCATAACCGCTATACGACAATAATATCATTAATTTTTTTATTTAAAATTCTTAGATGCCTTTTGACGACCATTTATATGATGATAATGATGTTTTCTACTTAACGCATACGAGCCTTCATTCAAGCGCGTAACCGCTACACGACAATAATATCATTAATTTTTTTATTTAAATTTTTTAGATGCCTTTTGAGAATAAATACGATTGGTCGTCATTTATACGATGATAATGATGTTTTCTACTTAACGCATACTAGCCTTCATGCATGCGCTCACACGCATGCAGAAGATATTTTTTGAATACACTCTTTAAATGTATTTATATGCGTAAATTGACAAAAGGAAAATCAAATATTTGAAGTAAACGAATAATTTTAGATCATGCTTGAAGAAACTCATCATAAACCAATTAAAGCAACTGAATCCACATAATAAAATAGGTCTCTATAGAATTTACATTAAGAATAGAGAAAATAATGTTTAATAAACAATCGATTGAAACATATTATTGTTAGACTATTGTAAGGCTAAGCTCACCCCCTCCCCCTTAATGTAGATAATATCGTTTATTTAAAAAAAAAATCATTTCACAATTAATTTAATCACATTATTATCCATGTGTGAAAGACCTTTTTTATAACCGGCATTACACGCCTCTTAAGATGTTTTGAACATGTTTAAAAATAAAGAAATTGAATCACATTATTGCTAGCCTACATGAGGTACTAATTAAAAAAAAAAGCACCAAAAAGTAAATTATTAAAAAAAAATATTGTTAAAATGACGAAAATGCCCCCGCCTTATTTGATGCATTATTTTGGGAAGCCTTTGAACTTTTTTGTTTTGGGGGCATTTTTGTTCAAGCATGATGACACCAAATCATTATTCACCTTTTCCATTCTCTTTATATATAACTAGCCTTCAGGCACGTGCTTACGCGCGTACAGAAGACATTTTTTGAATCACAGCATGACATATGCGACTTACTCGTTTTAAATGTATTTATATATGTAAATTGACAAAAGGGAAACTAAATATTTGAAGTAAATGAATAATTTTTTATCATGCTAGAACAAACCCCTCGTAAACCAATTAAAGTCGCTGAATTAACATAATAAAATCGGTTTGTATAAAATTTACATTAGGAATGGAGAAAATGATATTTAATAAACAATTGATTGAATTACATTATTGTTAGCCCATTGTGAGGCTAAGGGCACTCCCTCCCCCTCAGTATAGATAATATTATTTGTTAAAAAAAAATCATTTGACAATGAATTTAATCACATTATTATCAGCATGCGAAAGACTTTTTATAACCGGCATTATGAATAAAAAAAATGATCATTTGATAACTAATTGAATTACATTATTATACGCGTGTGAAAAACTTTTTTATAATCGGCACTATGCACCTCTTAATTAAAAATTGAGAAATAATATTTAATAAACAATCGCGTGCAAAATGAATTTTTTTAAATCACAGTGCGCTACCCATGATTTATACATTTTAAATGTTTTTGTCATTTGTTTATTCTTTTATTTCTTCTCTTTCATTTTTTTATTATTTTCTCTCTTCCCACTTATATTTATATTATATTTTATGATAGCCAAATTACCAAATTACCCTTACTCCATTCAATTTGCTGTTGTATTTTTTGTGGCTGACGGGCATTTTGGTCCAACCATGTGTGACCCCAAATTTTTGGCTGCATGTTCACTGTTCATCCCAGGTATGACAAAATTATTTAGAAGTAAATTTACCAAATTACCCTTGGATTATTTTATGCATTCATATTTCATGCTTTGAAATTTTTTTGGCCAAGGGGTATTTTCATCCAATTATTTTTGTCGAAGCCGGTGGCACCAAAATTTTTGTCCGCATGTGCACTGTTTTGCACTATGCACTTTTCCATTGGCATTCTATATATAATATAAGATACATGTTATATTCATCTTCTTTAGGATCCAAATCCGATAAACCCAAAGTAGAACCATTAAATGTTACTAACTACTTGAGCTATGAGTCGATTGCAGATTACGTATCATTTTAATGTGATACTTTTATGTTTATGAGACAAGCACGTTAAGACACATTTCCTACCGAGGATTCTATTGTCAATTTAAGTAGTTTTGTGAAAAAGGAAACGAAAGAAATAAAGCAAACGACACAATGCACGAACTACAATAGTTACAATTTAAGCATATGTAGGTCGAAAGGTCGAACCAACGTACAACAACTAAATCACAAAAGACGAGCAATTTTCCAAGATAGGAGTTGCACACCATATTCCTCTTTGAAAACAAGAGTTTGATAAGTTAAAGAAACTAATAGAAAGTAGCCGTACTCCTATCGGTTAGCAAGACCTTCATTGTGTGTTCATCGGCTCAGGACTAGAGTTCAAGATGTCCAACAATGACTTCTGAGGCTCCAACTCCTCGTGCCAAAGTGGAAGTTTGTCACCCGTATAGTAGTTTCTAGTCACTCCATCAGAATTGATATGCAAAACCGCGCAAATGGAACGGAAAGAAAGGGACTTAGCCAATATATGGTCTTGCATGTTCGAAACAAAAATACTGATATGATTGCCCAAGTCACAAATAAAGTCGAGGGGAAAAAAGAACATACAACTACAGTACGGACAACACCCCCACTGGCACCATCTCGTGCAATGGCAAGAGAAACGGCCTTGACCACCAATTGCTGCAATGGTGCCACCCAAGATTCGTAAACAATAAAGCTCAAAGCCAAACTTTACATAACGATAGCAATCCTTTTATTTGTCACAGGGAATGCTTGAATAATATCATCACCAACTACATATTATATATGATGGAGCCATAAAACGAAAATTTTAGTACCGATTTCCTTTCAAATGATCAAAGTTTGCTTGCAATATTGTTTCATTTAAGTTATTTATTGATGTAAAATAGCGACCAAGTCAAGTCCCATGGAAACTTAGAACTTTTCACGACCAATATGTTCCGAAGTACTAAAACTTTGAATCTGCAAACACGAAGAAATACATACCTCGGCTTCATCCTTGGTCATTCCTTCTTTCCATGCTGATCGAAAAATCCATACAAGGAACTGGAGCCAGATCCTACAATACGAAATATTAAGTTAAGCCAAACTCTAGGGAAACACTATCAAACTGAACATCCTTGGAAGGCAAAATCACATTTAAAGGTTTAAAACTTCCAAAAAGACATTTCAAGTTTTCAAGCTATATCCAAAATATGATATGGAAACCAATCACAATGGCATGGGGATAATAGGGATATCATATCTGAACATAACCCTTGTTTTGGCCAGTATATATAAGTTGTTGATCCCTCAAATTCCATTCATTGACCCCAAAATGAATTACTGAAATGTCATTGAGGCACATCCGGCATTACCAATCAGTTTCAATCAAACAAATCCTATGACATCTTTTTTGTACAAGCAGTGCAATTTCATCCCACAACCGTAGCAGCTCAGTTAGAAACACAAATTTGACACTTAGTTGGAAAAAATTCTAGCATAACATACCTCCAATGGCAAAGGGCAGCTCTAGCAGTGTGCCACCAAGGGGAATTCCATAAATCTTACCGCCTTCGTGCTTGTCCTAGCCGCCAACAATCAACCCCGTTTCCAACATATTCTGCCAAATCCAAAACATCACAAGGCTACAAACAAAATCTCACACCACAATACCAACAAACAAGGAACTAAAACAGTAAAATAAAAAACCAACCTTCTTGCCATAAGACAGCAGCCTGACGAGGTTTGCATAAACTTTCACAGTCGCAGGTTGCCCAAGCTGAATGCTGAGAAAACACAAAGCCATCAGGAAAAAAAAAAAAAATCAAAGGAGAATCATAAAAAGGAAAAGAATCGCAGAACAAAATAAGGAAACACTGACGTGTGCTGATGGAGCAAGTAGCGCATGTAGTCGGAAACAACTTGGGAATCGGCAGCCTGGGAAACCCAAAAGGGGAAAACATTGGAATGGTCGGAAAAAAATTAAGAAATTGATGATATTGAACTGAAAGAAGTGAAATTTGACAATATGGGTACCGATCCAGAGCGGCAGACGTAGACATTGTCGGTGAGCTGAGTGATTTTGTTGGAGGCGCGATTGGCCACGTACACTCCTGCAAGAATCAAAAGGCGTTTTGGGTGAGTGTTGAAAGTGAAAAATCAGCTTAGGGTTTTGGTGGAGGAGAGAGTGAGGAGATTTACCGGTGCTGGTACGAGAGTCGGCGGCGAGTATGACGCCTCCGTCGTAGGTGACGCCAATGATGGTGGTACCCATGGAGTGAGGGGCGTTGAGATCCATGTCGGAAGAAGCCATAACGAATTAAAGGTTGGGTTTTTCGGAGGAAATTGAATTTGCAGAGAGAGAGAGAGAGAGAGAGAGAAAGAGACGAGGGGCATTTGTTAAAGTTGTCTTAGTGCACAAGTTCTTTGGATTTTCAATATTATGTGGGTTTTGGGTCATTTGGCCCAACAGAATGTTACATTTGGGCTTCAATATCTTTGTCGAATCTCTCCACCTTTATAATCGGAAGAATGTAAAATCTTTTAGAGCCCGTTAACATTTCGTAAAATAATTTTTTGTTTTGCAAATACAAAAACGGTTGAAAAATACGTTTGGGATACTGTTTTATGAAAATAAACTTAAAAATAGAAAAGGTAAAAATAATATTTAGCCTAAGTTTTTGTAGAACATCAAACTGAGGTTTACTTTGTTTTTCAAGAACAGTTCTCAAAAATAATAGAAAAAGAATATGCATTATAAAACAAATTTAGAGTTTAATAAAAGATAAAATTATGTATCACCATTGCCATTTTCTCTACCGCCATCACACTAGCCACCATTACCTCCACTGTTTTACCCTCGCCACTACCACCATTGTCCACCATGACCATCGCCACTTGCACTCGCGCTTCACCCCTACCACCATGGCCATCATTATATCCACTGTCTCAATGTTGCAGTCATCACCACTGTCACCATCACCACATTCTTCGCACCATTGCCACTATCACCTCCACACTGTTACTCACTACCACCACCATTGCTACCAACACCACTCACGTTTCAACACTAAACAATAGTTATGAGTGTGAGGTAAAATTGATGTGTGGTGATTATCAACTTACATACATACATACATACATACATACATACATACATATATATATATATTAATACATAAAAAATGGAAAGGACACGTCCGAGATAAAATATAGAGTGAAAATCACCACTCTTTCCTTTTTTCATGAAACTACTTAAATTGACGATGGAATCCCCAGTATAAAATGTGTCATAACACGCTTGTCTTAGAAACATAAAGCATCATATTAAAATGTTATATCAATCCGTAATCATCTCATAGCATTTAACAATTTAACTGTTCCATTTGGGATTAGCACCTCTCTTCAAATTGCTATTTAATTTGAATTTGCCTTATATAATACTCTCACCAAAAAATTAATTAAACTACAAGATTAAAAAAACCCAAAATTTTACATCCATTCCATTCCACCACTTCTGGGGATCTACGTGGATTTGCCAAGAGGAGAACATCTTTTTATGTTTTCTTCCGTCGGAGGTGAACTTAGCAGCTCATTTTCCTCAATAGTAATAATGCTTGGGATGTCTTGTAAGAAGCTATTAATAACGGAGTTGGTTTCAGACGACAAAACTTCCAACTTGCGTTTCCAATTGCATCGTTGTCTTCGACCCATCTTCTACCTTTATTTTTCGTGTGTCTTCTTCAAGTACAAAAGAATGTTCAAGTAGCTGAACAGCCGATGGTCTCTTGGCAGGGTCCCTCCTAAAGCACAATTCGAGGAAGTCCTTTCCTTCTGCAGATAATGTATCAGGAATATCCGGGATGCTGTTCAGAAGCTTCTGCATAACTTCAAGCTGACAGATTAAAGACACGAAGATGTTAAAAACCAATAAACATGATCCGACTTAGACAGAACTCTTCTTCCGTCTAGTCATCCTGTACGCGCATAAAATCAATCAAGGCGATTTACTCTCCTGATTGGCTGCATATTTACCGTGAACAGGATGACTAGAGCGATCATCTTTATCACAACATTCTGAAAAATCATTTTATCATCGACTTACTAGTGTTAATTCACTCCAAGGAGGTTTTCCAGTGAACATCTCAATGATGGTACAACCCAAGCTCCATATATCAACGGCCAAATCCAAATCTGGATCCACGTTGTTCTGCCTAGACATCCATATGAGCTGCACGGAACAAACAAGGCGTCTGTAGTCTATATGCAATGCACACGCCATCTAAATTTTACAGATAAAGCTAGTGCAATTACCTCAGGAGCCATCCAGTTTGGACTGTGCTTGAAAGAAAGAATGTTTGATTGCCCATTGAGCTGAATTGCACCAAACAAGTTGATTATTCAAATATAAATTCTTCAAGAAATTATGTTGACAGACATTAAACACGATAGGCGTTTACGGAATTAAATACTCACATTAAAAAAAATGTTTCCGACATTAAACATGATAGGCCTTTGTGGAATTAATTACTCACATGTTTTGCAAGCCCAAAATTGGCAAGTTTAACAACTCCTGATGCATCAACACGCAAATTTGCAACTCTTATATCCCTAGAACAATCACCGATCCGGAAATTCATTCAGTAAAGAAAAAGTATGCTTGTGATCAATCAAGAAATGCAACACGCTGATATTAAAATAGCACTCTATGAAGTCGCAAGCATTATTCTCACCTGTGAATCATCTTCCTGCCATGCAGAAAGTCCAGCCCGGAGAGGATGTGGCCAGTGAAATTGCGGACTACAGATTCCGTCATACCTCCAACGAGGTTTTGGACATATTCATCAATGGATACGGGAACGTACTCCAAATATGAGCACAAGTGATTATCAATCTGCATTTGCGTAAAGAATACTCCCCAAGTTGAGTAAAACCGGCAAAGATTGGTTTTCAACAAATGTGAACATGTCAGAAAGAAACTCACTACTTCGCTACCGTAGTACTGCACTATATTCGGATGCGTCAGGGTACGGAGTATTTTAATTTCCTGCAAAATATTTGGTTGGTCTAGATAAATTTAAGCTGAAGGCAGACAAATAACTGCAACTCCCATGTGAATTAACAAAAAATAAAAAAATAAAGGACTCCAGAAATGGACCTGCTCCAAATACTTTATACGGTCTGCATCTAGAACATAATTGAGATCAACTTCCTTCATTTCGCACAATGCCCCGGTCTTTCTGTCATACGACTATAAATCGTTAACATATTCAAAACAAAGTAACTGTCAAATTGCCAATGCAGAACAGAGCTCATAGATATTAACATACCGGTTGGTCGCGATATAAACATCGCATGAGGTACAATATCGAATAATTCTTCCCTTCTTCCATTGACCTTGAATCGATGACACCGGTAAAATTTCGGCATTGTAATGCATGCTAAATGGTTGTAGTGGAGGCAGAAGATCTTGACTACAAGAAGAAACTCAGACAAGAAATCTGTGTAACTAATAGAGTAGTTGTAAGCAGTAGATTAATAGAAGTTTTTCATGATTTCCTATATAAGTCCTCTGAGCCGCGTACCTTATCTTGGACCCCTGGTACTTGCCGGAGTCGGAAACCAATCCCGAGTCGCAAGTCGCGCACGACGTATCGTCGGGAGAATCTGATGGCATTCTTTTTCTTTTTGGTGACGCTTGAGACATTTCTGCAATCTGGAATAAATTTTCACTCCATAGAGAATCTATTCCAGATTGCAGAGGAGAATCTATTCCTTGAAGCTCGGAAAAAGCTGTTCCAATTGGAATCGGGCTCTTGAATTGTCTAGTTATCTCCTCAATAATTTCCCTGATAAACATTCCTTCATACCTGGTAGTTAAATTTGAAAATGAAGCAAAACTACGTAAGATTTATTAGCAACTGCCAGATTAAATCAATTAAAAACATACTTTAAAATCCTTGAACTGTAGTATGATCTTATACATTTTTTTTTTTTCAGTTTGTCATTTGCAGTTTTGAACAAAAATTTTGAGAGATTTGTTATATCAATTTTTTAAAATTATTAATCTGTCATCACACCCAACTTTGTTAAGTTTTTTATTCAAAATAAATCATGGACAGCTGTGTTTAGCGTTACTTCGGACACTTGAATACTCTTTCACAAGTTTTTTATCTTTTTTATTTTTATGCAAGATATATTAGGAATAAATTGATTTAGGATTTTTGACCTTCTTGTCACTAATTATCTATTTTTATTTGGGATGACACAAAACTTTTGGCTGGTAAAAAAAACATGCATGGTTCATTACCAGAACTTATTGTCAACTACTCAAACGAATAATATTGGACTTACTAAGACTAACTCCAACCCAAATTAATTGATAAGATTTTTTTTTTCTTCTGAAAACATAGGCCCTCGGCCGGGACAATGGATACCCAATAGTGTTGATTATATGTATAGAGTTCAAATCACACGCGCACAATTTTCCCACTTTCTGGAAGCCTCTCCGACTCTCGATTGAATCTCCTCTCCTCAGTTCTCCCCCTCGGATCTCAATCGTCGATTCTCACTCTCCTCCCTCTCGATCTCTCTTTCAGAGTCCAAATTGACTCTCATTCTTCTCGATTCTTAGACTCCCTCTAGAATCACGATAGTTGAGCTCCCTCCCCCAGCTTTTCTAAAGTCGACTCCGAGTCTCCGACCACCCCCATCTACTCCTCTCAACTTGGACCACTACTTCACGGCCTAGGTCTCCTGACTCCTAAGTTATGACCAGTCCATTTCGAATTCTGAGTTTTTAGGGTTTTTCTAGATTAGGGATTTTGAGTTATTGTGTTCCATTTTGGTTTCAATTAATTTTGTACTCTGGGTTTGGGACCCGGGTTTTTGCACTTGCAGGCTCAGCAACAAACGGAGTAAAATGAGAAGCTGAAGCACTAAGTCTAACAGTGGGACTCGAAGACTTTTCTGAGCTCCTTCCCAAGTATTTCAAGCACTACAATTTCTCTAGCTTCGTCAGGCAGTTGAATACTTATGTGGGTATTTCTTCCCTTTCCTAAATTTTGATTCGTTCGTGCTTTTTCTGAATCTGATTGTTGTTTTCGTGGTGATTCCGATCGAAACTGTGAAATTCGGAATGGTAACGCGGGATCAATGTTCAATTAGGCTTTGCAATTGTTATTTTAGCGAAAGGGTTATCGAATTGGAGGTTGTAAATAAGTAAATTGTGAAGATAAATGCTGTATGTCTGGATTTATCTCACCTAATTTTAGCCATTATTGTTGAATTGGATTCTTTGTCATTCACTGGGTTCCCTTAGGTCTAGGAGATCACTATGTCATAATCTCCACAATTTACTTATAGGGTCAAATCTCCACAAATTCAATTTGTGTTGGTTATCAACCAACACAAATTCAAATCTGTTTTGTTTCATACCCTAAACAAATGGATAGATTACTGCAATGTTCTATATATTTTCAAAGGGTTTTATTCAATAATTTTCCTGTCGGGTTATTTTGGATTCGGACATTGATTGGAATTGGATGTCTCATAGACGTTATTTTTTATTGGATTTGGATAAATAATATTAATATATGCTGCTGGGCACAATACGTGCTTCAATACTCCCCTAATATGTGTTGCTGCATCCTACAGTGCATCCTCAATTTTCAAAGATAGCTCCTGCAAGTGTCATATGTGATGCAGTGTTGATGTGCATTGCCATGCAGCAGCTACAGCCTCATTTTATAAAAAGGTTGTATTTTTTGAAAAGAAAAAAAAGAGTTCGACCGTTGAACCCGAGGACCCACCCTGTTTCAAACGGGCCGGGTAAGGTTCAATTCCATGTACCCGGCTCGGCCCGTTCCGTTACAGATTTAAACGGGTAAAATCAGGCTCCTTCAAAATTGGGCCCGACCCAGCCTGGCCCGTGCCCACCCCTAGGTAAAATGTAATTTACCCTTAAATTTAAGGGTCAAAATAATTTTTTTAAGCTATTGGTGTTTATACTGAAATTTGGTTGGTTGATTTGTAATTGAAGTTTGATTTGTTTAGTTTATTTAAATTTTATGTAAATTAAAATTTTTTTTTTTTTTTTTTTTTGTTAAAACATTCGTAAAAATAAATTAAGATAACATAACTCAAAGTTACAAAAAAATTCTTATTACGACATTTTATGTCTTGAAATCTAATTCTAAGGGTTGGGTGACATTCATTGTTCAAAAGACTTTAATTCTACCTTGTATTTGAGTTTGGGTTCGAATTTTTATTTTTGGTCAACGAAGGAGTTGGTCTAACATGAACTTAACTAATTAATAACATAAAGAAAAAAAAAATGCAATTACCCATTAGTCGTTCTGAAAACCCAGGTTGTCAAATCTGCACCTTCGGTAAGAGCATCTGTCCACCGCTGTATCTTTTCTTCTTTATCTGTATCTTTATTGAAGTGCTCTCTATGCTTCTGAATTGCTAGTGCAAATGTACCCATAGCATCTGAAGGACTCAGATCGTAGAATATTGGCAGAACTATTTGCTTCAGTGTTCTTCTGCACTCCACGATATGCACCAGCTCCTCAAGACACCAGATGGAATCCGCGTACCTACTTGAGAAGACGATGACTGAAACCCTAGACCCTTCAATTATTTGCTTCACTTTGTCTGACATATTTTCCCCTCTTCTTATTGATTCGTTCTCCTCCATAAAGAAGTCAATGCCGGCGTCTTTCATTGTCCAATAGAGGTGGTCCGTGAAGGTTTTGCGCGTGTCTTCACCATTAAAGCTCAAGAATACGTCGTAGGGTGAGGAGGATGAGGAGGATGAGGAGGATGAGGAGGAGGAGCACGGTGAAGATGAAGATGAGGTTTCAAGGGCTGTACTTGTCATGTAATTTCTGCCATATGGGAACTGATGGTGGTTTGGATCACCTAGCTGCATTAGGGGTGATGGTACCATACTCGGACCTATTTCTAGGTTGTGGGGATTGGCTGCTCTTGATTGGTTTGTTGGGTACTCATTTATATCTTTACCCTTCTGAAAGACTCGGCAAATCACCCATTCATTCTGCTAATACCACAATAATTTAGTCAGATCAGTTAATTATTCATTATTTGATCCATAATATGAAATCTATATGCATGGAATAGTATAGAGTGGAAGACATAATAAATCAACAGGGGGCATGCATATCTATGTGTTTTTTTTTTTTTTTTTTTTTTTTTTTTTTTTTTACTTCTGATATATGTTTATTGGATTTTTTTGTTCTTCGCTATTTTTGTATTGCACGTGTATTAGCAATTTATAGTATTAATTTGATATGTTGTTAATTATAAATTCCTTAGGGTTTTGTGGATATCTTATTGATATTAATTTGATCGATCCATTGAAAATATCGAAAATTATCAATAATGTAATATGATACTATAAATTGAAACATAATAGTTTTGAGGTTCATAGAACTTCATAGTATTAAAAACTCTATCGTCAAGTTCATGGAATGGGTCGACTTGATTACTATATTAGTCTTCTAAGTTGGTTGGGAATATTATGATCAACGTAAAAGTACTAGCTGGGTGTAAGATATTATATAAGTACTGGAAGCCTTAAAGGGAAGGGATTCTCATTTTTCAAAAAAATAAATGAGGATATCCTCTTAACCGTTAGATTTGGCTTTAATAAAATCATGTGGTTGAGATTATGTGGCCTGTGATTTAATCTCAGCTACAAAATTTCATTAAAGTCAAATCTAACGGCCAAGAGGGTGTCCACATTTTTCAAAAAAAATGGGGATCCCTTTCCTTAAATGACCTGGATAAGTATTTTATATATATATATATATATATATGTATGTATGTATGTATATATGTATATATGTGTATATGTATATATATACATATATATGTGGGGACTGTCATCTATCACAACGTTTCACAAATCTTGCATGGAATCATGCATGCATGCTCTAGCTCAAGTCAATGTGTTCGTGTATTCACAAGTTTATCTCCCTAGCTCTATCTAGAAAGAGAGAGAGATTGGAAGTGTAATTTCAGTTTCACAAGTTCATCAGCCCTATAGTTCTATTAATGTCAAAGATGATTTCAACTAATTAGAAGATTAGTTAGAATGGAAATTAAAACTAGTTGTTTTAGATCCTTAACTCAACTTATACTTAGATGGTATTAATCAATTTAATTAGGTATACCTTGGATGTTCTAAAGTCGGATTTAGAATCAATGCGATATTCATGCATGATCCAGTTGGATTTTTTGCCATTAGGAACTCGGCCAATGTAGAAAACACGGGTCTTTCTCATCCCAGCCCGCTTAGATGTGACACTGTTGTAGATCACCTTGTCTCTCCCTGTGGCCCTCCAGTAACCTGTGTTTGTTATCAATGTTGTTGAGTTCTTCCAATCCCCTAGGCTGAAGAAGTAACACTCATTTTCTCCCATTTTCGCTTTTGCTACAATAATTGATCCAAGAAATTACAAGTTCATCAACACTTTACTAAGTTAGACACAAGAAGCTAATTTGTCTGTAGACACACACACACACACACACACACACACACACACACACACACATACAATTTTCACAACAATATACTCGTGAGTACTGTTGTATTTGGTATTAAATCAATACACCTAAACTAAAAAGGTTTAGGATATCTTGGACGCAAGATATTTGGATTGTGTTTCCTAGTTGGTTTGGGATTTAGTTTTAGTATAGGATTTGGTTTCCTATATTCTAGGGACTCTTATGTAAACCTAGGACATAATAGTAGTGCCAATAGATTTTTAGTCATCAACTCTGAAATAAATGAAATTTCGAATAACACTATATTGGAGTCTAGGGATGCAACATATTTTGAAGACATTTCCTTTCAAGACTAGAATGCAAAAGCAAGTGATAGATAGATCATGCACTAGTACTGACAAAGCCTCCACAAGTATTAGCTATCGAGTTACAAATGAAGAAGAGCCTTCAACATAACTTAGAAGGAGTAAAAGACCTAGAGTGCAGAAGAATTTTGGTGATGATTTTTATACTTTTTTAATTGAAGGTGATCCAACAACATATAAGGAAGCCATGATCTCCGTCGATGCTCCACTTTGGAAAGAAGCTATAAATAGTGAAGTTGAGTCTATTTTACAAAACAACACTTGGGAGTTAACGGATTTACCACCCAGTACTACAACAATTGGTTGTAAGTGGGTATTTAGGAAGAAACTGAAACCTGATGGAAGTATAGATAAGTACAAAGCTAGGCTAGTAGCCAAGGGATTCACTCAAAAGAAAGGAATTGATTATTTTGACACTTACTCTCCTGTGTCTAGAATTACTATAATTAGGATCCTCATAGTATTAGCCTCTATACACAATTTAGTAGTTCATCAAACGGATGTTAAAACAACATTTTTGAATGGAGACTTAAATGAAGAAAATTACATGGAACAACCTGAAGGATTTATAGTGAAAGGTCAAGATATGGGTTAGAGTTTTGTGTGTGAGAGTTTTTGAGAGGCATAAGTTTGGTTTAGTTTACAACAAGTACAACTAATTTGAATAATATATACTTTTGATCGAAGAAGAGTACATACGATGAAACATGTAATGTTCATATGCAAAGTTCACATGAGTTAAATACATTTTATAAAACATGGTCCCAATTAAAAATTAATTAAATAATATCGTCAATAAGTAAAAGAAATTTAAATCCAACAAAGAGCCGAAAACAGTAAGCAAGATTTACCCACTAGCTACTGCTCTGCGCCCCACCCCGCTCCCCCCCCCCCCCCCTCCGCCGCCTCCTCCTCCTCCTCCTCCTCCTCTTAACGGATATATATACGTAGACAACAAGCTGATTGCAAAAACTACAAAACGATGGATATATAGAAATAGATCAAATTTGTGCATGTGACGGATGAACTGAAAACAAGGGTCGGATTGGAACTATATATATAAGTATGTATGTATGTACCAGGAAGTTCCCAGGGTTCGCATTTGTTGATATCAACATCGGCGATCGCCCTTACAGTAAAAGTGGCATCATTTATCTTGTTCATGAGATAGGTGATAAGTTCTTCTTCTGTAGGATGAAATCGGAGCCCTGGTGGCAACTCTTCCTTTGGTTCTGCTGTCATGATGTGACGATCTCTCAAATTTCCTTTTGAGGGTTTTGTCCGGCTTGTCTGCCTTCTGCTTATATCACAAAGACAATTATATGAGATCGATCGATCAAGAATACTACTTGAATTACTCAATTCGAAACTTACTAGGTTGAAAAAACTATCTAACTTTTCTTCTTCTCCTAAAAATACTCAACAACATAAACACTAGATGGGTAGTGAAGACTTGTAGGAGCTGGTTGATTAAGTAGCTAGCTCTCACAAAACCAAAAGGAAAACAGAAAAGAGAAAGAAACTAGCTATTGTAAAGAAAAGTAATTGGGGGCAAACTCTCTGTGCGATGGTGAACTTCTCACCTACCATGGGTCCTGAGATAAGGTTGCCAGCTTTATGGTTTTTAATATTATCAAAGATCATGAGCGAAATCCTTGTTCCAGAAAAAGATTTTTCAATGTGTTCAGAGTACAAGATAATTCATCACGTATTATTATACAAATGATAGAATATATGTATTAAAAAATTAATAACTTAAAAATATACAATTTTATACCATTTATATAAAAACACGTAGTGTATCAATCATATTATGATGAAAAATTTCTCATCTTTTGGGACTATTGCATGATTGTCTACATGAATTCATGAAGTGTGAATCGGCAGAAATGTCCTTTGTAATTGATAAGTCCCGTACACATTGGGCCAAATCGTCTGGCTAAATCGGGTAGGAGATAGTCATCCGGCTAGACATTCTTTAGGCAGGTGGTCTAGACGGTGGCCAATGCAGTAGTTTTTTTTTTTTTCCTTTTTTTTCTAGCGAACTAACTCTCTAGTCTTCGATTGTTGTCGGCACGTCGCATCTTTTGTTTCCAATCGCTGTCTTTAACAGAAAATGAATGATTTGAAGAGAAGAGCGAGGATGGGAGAGAGAATAGTTAAGATTGCAAACTTGCACTTCATCTGAGGAGGAAATTCACAGAGCCTTAGCAATATAGAAATACGAGTGATACGCCACGCATTTTTATATAAGTGATGAGAAATTTTATTTTTTAAGTTATTAACTTTTTAACATACATGTCTCATTATTTGTATAAAAGCACATAGTATATCATCATATATTTCAATCACATCGAAAAATTTCTCGAGATAAGTGGGAAGAATCTTTGGTGTGGTTCCACGGATTGGGACCTTAGATGATCTGAAGGAGGTGGGGTGGAGGGATTTAAAAAAAACATTAAATACTAATTTCATTCAAAAACAACTTAATATTATTATTTTGTTCTTAAAAATTAAATTGTTTTGTTTTAGAAATCCTAAATAGAGAGGGGGATTTTTTGAGACTATGAAAGTTTCTTTCTTTTTAAGACATCTTACTATGCTTAAAACTCTAACATCATATATACCATTCTATTAAAAAAAGAATAACATATTTTTCAATGATTCATGGTGAACAATCTCATCACTTCTATTGATTTCAAATCTCACAAACCAAAGTGAGAAATTATATAAATCTCAAAGATCATTTTAGCTAAAAAGCCTAAAATTATATACTATTATTAAGAAAACCCACCTTGTCAACTTTTTTTTCTATTTTGCCCTCATTTTTTATGCACACTGTTGACAAAAGGGGGCAAAATAGTAATTTTGTACCTTTTGACAAAATAATAATCATATCCCTATTTTTCTTATTCTACCCTTTTTATGAGATAATTACAATCATATTTTTTTCAATTTTACCCTCACTTTTGATACACAATATTTACATAAGCAGGACAAAATAATAATTATGTAATATTAAAAAAATATACAATTATTTGTTCACACATATACGAAGTGTGTACTCTCTATTAGTAGTTATAGAGAAAAGCTACATGCAAATAAGAGAAACCATGCAGACGACCATTCTAATTCTATACATATCCACTGCTTCACGTAAACTTCCTTCAGATTCAGACAGCCAGCGTACTAGCTAGGTCATATTTAAGACAGAGGGTACAATGTATGCCTTTCCATTTGAGTATAACTTGCTTTCACTAACTAGGGTATGGCATGTGTCACTGGTTGCCATGAGTTCAGACGTCCTTGCAAAATTTTGTTTACAAAATAATGTGACTGTTGTATTTTTGATGATTTACTCAGTTTTTGGGTCATTTTAATCTCATTTGTTTCTCGGAGAGTCACATGGTTGAAAAGTACTGAAAAATATGAGAGGAATAGGGTTTGGGGCTTAAACTAGACATGACCCCACGGATTCCCTTGCCCTCTGTTCCTCTTGTTTTGGCTCTTTTATGTTAATTTATGTCCATAATTCTAATTAGTACTCAATACTCAGAACTCTTTCTAATAAATTATTTTCATAATGTATGAGTACAGAGTACTAGTTAAGATTATGGATGTTGATGCACAAAATCGACGAGGACTTTGGTACAACAGAAAGTGTCAAGTTTGTGACATTCGCTAGGTTGCTCTGGTCATTAGTGTGGATAAGTATGTAAATGAATAGAGACAGGGAAGCAAATAACACAAGATGTAGGTGGTTCACCCAGATTGGCTACGTCTACGGAGTAGAGGAATTCTCATTAGTTGTGAAGGGTTTACACAAATACATAGGTTCAAGCTTTCTTTTAGTGAGTTCTAGTGAATAGTTTAGTACAAATGACATTAGGGATTATTGTGGGAGAATGATCCCCTTTTATAGAAGAGAGTTTCTAGTTTTGTTCTGACATTGACACGTGTCGTGTTGTGATTGGCCTCTGATATCGACATGTGTCACGTTGTGATTGGCTTCTGATACCGACATGTGTCGTGTTGTGATTGGCCTCTTGGTTGGAGGAAAAGTCTTGTGGGTCATTGACGGTATGCTATTGACCGGTGCTTAGTAGTTTCGGGATTGGTCAAGTATGGTACAAACAGTGCTTCCCTAAGTTCCCGAATGAGGGAAGCTCCTCGGTTGGGGACTTGCAAGGTCCAAGCCATTGAGTAATCACAAAACTTCCAAGTACCGAAGTGTAGTGTCGCCTTCACTTGCCTTCTCTATCCTGTAAGTAGATGTGTCATCTTCTCTTGGAAGTACTTTTCCTTCATCCAGAAGTGGTATCTTTAGTTGGCGTTGACGCATAAGGTAATGTATCATTTTCATTTGAAGCTTACTTGTAGTTTCGGGTTTGGTCAAGTGCAATACAAACCATATAGTAGGAGCCCTCAAGTCTCTAAGCGAGGAGATCTGCCGAAGAATGTGACAGGCAAGGTAAGTAATCAGGGTTCCAAGCAATCAATCTCAGATTGGTAGGTTGATCTTGGGTTCCGGCTGATTGTACTCATTCTCTCTGTCTCTCATTCAGCAACAAAGATAAAGAGAAGAAACAGAGAGAAGAGATGATATGAGGTACTCTTGTTTTTGGAGAAGACAGATGAATCGCCACGTGCTTTGTTGTACTTGACTTTTCACAGGTGTATTCTTGAACTGGGTTGGAAGGTTTTCTGGTTTCCTTTAAAGGAGCGAGCCGACTCCAAAATTTGAGGGTCAAAACAAGTCCATCAAACCTGGAGTATGTTCGATCCTGATGATATGAGATACTTTTGCTGTTTGACAAAGTAGTAGATGTGGTATAACGAAGCTTTGTTATTTGACAACGGTGTTGGCAAATGATTGTTAAGGCTTCTCGATCTTTTCAATTAGAGTAATGATGCCGAGCTTGAATTTTTTATTTTGTTGAAGTTTGCATGTTGAAACTTCGTGGGTGGTACCCTGTAGGTTGAAGTAGTGCTCCCTTAATTTCTTGAGTGAGGAAAACTTCTCGGTTAGGGACTTGAAAAATCCAAAGCACTGAGTAGTCACCAAATTTCTGAGTACCAATGTGTAGTGGTATATGGTAGGAGTCCCCCAAGTCTCCGATCGAGAGAGTTGACGAGGGAAGTGTCTTGCTAATAGGCAATTTTCTAAACAAAATTTCACCATTTTCCTTTCTAAGTAGTTACCCAAAATTCCTCATTCATATATATTTGGTATGAAAGTTGTTAGGCCCAAAGAAGGAGAAGCCTAGGCTCATTGCTTTCTTTCTTTCTTTCTTTCTTCTTTTTTTTTTTTTTTTTTTAATAGGTGAAGCTTTGTAGGTGAAGCTTTTGTGTTAAAGCTTTGTAGATGAAGTTTTTGTGTTAAAGCTTTTGTATTGAAGCTTTGTGGGTGAAGCTTTGGTGTTGAAGCTTTTGTGTTGAAACTTTGGTGTTGAAGGTTTTGTGTTGAAGCTTGTAGGTGAAGCTTTGCAGATGAAGCTTTTGTGTTGAGGCTTTGTAGGTGAAACTTTTGTGTTGAAACTTTGTAGGTGAAGTTTTTGTGTTGAAACTTTTGTATTGAAGCTTTGTTGGGCACCATAACTTGATTTTGCTTCACACTATCTTGATCAAGAGTGTGAAGCTTTTGAGAATTATAGTTACTCTCCATTAATTAAGCTTTGTTTGATGTTGAAGCTTTGTAGTTGAAAGTTGAACATTTGTAGGTGAAACTTTGGTGTTGAAGTTTTGTTGAGCACCATAAATTGAGTTTGCTTCACACTATCTTGATCAAGAGTGTGTGAAGCTTTTGAGAATTGTAGTTGCTCTCTATTGATGAAGCTTTATTTGATGTTAAAACTTTGTAGGTAAAGCTTTTGTGTTGAAGCTTTATTGGGCATCATAAATTGATTTTGCTTCACACTATATTGATCAAGAGTATGTGAAGCTTTTGAGAATTGTAGTTGCTCTCCATTGATAAAGCTTTGTTTGATGTTGAAGCTTTGTAGTTGAGAGTTGAACCTTTGTAGGTGAAACTTTGGTGTTGAAGCTTTGTTAGGCACCATAAATTGATTTTGCTTCACACTATTTTGATCAAAAGTGTGTGAAACTTTCTACGAGTTGTAGTGTTTGCATTGTTACAGAGGAGAAATGTCTGAAGCAAATGTAAGAGGGCTGAAGAGCTTGATCTTCATATACCATGCACTAAAGCCGTTGTTGGCTTGCAATAAGACTTTGTTGGTGACTATAACTCTTGTTAGGCATAAGTGCTCCCCTAGTTGAGTTGTAAAGCTTGAGAGTTTTTTATTATTTGTGAATGCTAGGAGTCGCATGTACAAGTTGTACCACTCATCTTCTGGTTGGTGAAATGAATGTTGAGTTGCTTTCATCACTTAGTTAGTGGTACGAATGTGAGTTCTTTTATCACCTTTCATCACATTTCATCACCTGGTTAGTGGCACGAAGATGAGTTTCTTCTTCACCTGGTTGGTGGCATGAGTGGCAAGTTGCCAAATGATGTTAGAGTACGGGTTGTACATTTCATCACCTGGTTAGTGGAACAAAGATGAGTTCATTCTTCACTTGGTTGGTGACATGAATGGC